TTTGCAGACCTATAATCCTTTCAGATATTCTTTATCATGAGATTTTTAGCTATGTTTGCTCTTCACCTTCTGAAAACATGCTTATTGTGCAAATGTAGCCCCAATATGAAGGGTTGGCATTTGACAATCTATCGTGATGAAAGTCTCACTCCCAATCAATTTTTCAATGTCAACCATAATCTCATTCTATGATTACGATTAAAATGACTTAAATTGTAGGCCTTCTAAAAAACTTATAATTAGTTGGTTTTTGTTTCTGTTAGCACCATTCACTGTTGACCTGGGCACCATTTATGATTAGTTGGTTTTTGTGTCTTTATGAAAACTTATAATCTGAATGTGGAATTTGGATTCTTTACTACTTTGCATTAGAAAATGAAATATTTCCTTTTCTGGTGGCTTTTATTTTCACCGAATTCACTCCTGCACTATTTTTCACTCTTAACTAAATGGATACACATGCTTAAGCAGTAGTCAAGAAAGGATGAGCAGGCTGGCCAGAAAATCCATCTGATTAAGTATGGCAATGTTGGTAAATAATATATTCACCTTCACCAACATGATATATCACTTTGAAGCATGAAATATTGCTTCACGTGTTTTGTTCAGATATCTTGCTATGAGGTTCTATTCTCTCCACCAGTGAATAAAAAATCTAGAGCTACTTATATCATCATCATCATTACCCCAATGCCGCAAAGGCTCCCACCTACGATGGGGTAAGGGGGGGTCGGATGTACACAGTCTTACCCCTGTACTACAGCACAGGGAGACTGTTTCCGGATGACCCATAGTGAAACAAAGAGATTTACCACTATTGAAAATAATGAAAGGGTTGTGCAATGGATATACTTTTAGGGGCACATATTTATTATTCTTTATTTTTTATTTTCTGAAGTTAGAATAACCATTAAATGCATCAATTATTTTAGTGGTCCATATAGGTATTGCTAATAAAAAAATCAAAATTACTTTTTTATTATTTTAAACTTCCCATCCAAACATAATAAACAGAATAAGTTTAAATGAAGTGTAAGATGCTAATCAATAATTTAAAGTGTACCTTTGAAATGATGAAGCAAAACGCTAGCAAAAGCTGAGAAGCAGTGTCTTTTTAGATTCACTGTAGATAAATACAAATCAATCTATAAATGAAATACATGAAAACTGAAGAAAAATCATGTGTGACAAAGCAGTGATTCCACTTTTAGGGCCAAGAAGCGCATATATGATCTATGATCTTCATAAATCGGGTGTAAACAAATTGAATTCCATATACACATTCACTTGGACAAAAAAAGGAAGAAGAAATGAGAGAACATTACTAATTCTATAGAGCTTTCCTAAACTATTTTCACCAAGAGGAGGTTTTTTCCACAATCACCATCTTCCTGCATCATTTAGTTGCCCCATTAGGCAAATCTGCATAGATTTTATGCACATAGATTTTAAGGTCATCATACTATTCTTATGGAGGCAATCTATTGAAAGTTGTTAGGTATGGGGTGAATTCACAAAAGCCATAAATATGAATTAGCTTAAGAATTTACAGTTTATCATTTGGAAAAAGAGTTTAGACACCTTCCGAACTAACTTCGCAATATTAACAGATTGAAATTTAATAGGTACAGGGTGATATGGCTATCATAACAAAACTTATTAAGTCGAGAGTGAAATGAACTTCATCATTTGGAAACAAAGAAAACACTAGGAAGAATCATAGTTGTCATGGCGCATGGCGCAACCCATGGCGCACAGGCCATTTTCCATGGCGATGGCGATGACGCAAATATGGCGTCGCCACGTGACAAAAAAAAATAAAACCTTCAAAACGAATAATAGATCATGCAAAACTATCATAGAAACAAAACTATCATATATATGTATGTATGTATGTATTTAGATACATATATATATATATATATATATATATATATATATATGTAGATATATATTTAAACTTAAAAAATTTCAAATATTAATCATAATGTCATTTTTCAATGGTATAAAATAATCCGCAAAACAAAAAATACAAATATGGAAAAAGGATTGAAAAAATCAGCTTGTAAATAAAAATCTTAAGTCCTAGAAGATGTAATGGAGAGATGTAACGGAGAAAGGAAAAAAACGTTTTCTAAGAAGAACAAAACAAGCCTTAAAGAATACGAATGAAGAAGGCCACACTGCGACACTGAAGAAGGCATCGCCTTGGGGAGTTGGATCTTCGCAGGTCATTATTTTTTTTAAAACTTGAGTCGCTTCTTTCAGTCTACGTCATTTCCGATTTCCGACCATAGCCTCGTTTCGGAATTCCGACTCTGTGCGTCGTATTCTTTCCCTACAGACACGAACGACGCAGATCGAAGGAGATCGACGATTCCGCGATCTAACGAGTGAACTCGTCGATCCGGCGATCTGGCTGCAATTTCCGATCCAAGCTGCGATCTTGACAACCTTGCGCAGACCCATTTTGTCAAAAAAACATTCGCATCGCCATGGCGAAGGCGCAGGAATGGTGAAGGCGCAGGAATGGCGACGCCATGTGTATACACCTCGCCACAGCCCCTTTTCATAGCGCAGAGGGTTTTTCGCGCCACATGGCGCATGGCGCGCGCGCCATATTGCGCCATCGACTACTATGGGAAGAATTCATACAATAGTACGTCAAGAATAACGGCTTTGAATTCGAAGCATAAGAGCAGGGATAACATAACATTAAAGAAAAAGTGGCTGAGGTTAGCCTCAATGTCTGGAAGAAGAATGTTCTTGTCCATCTCCCCTCCACGGCAAAAGATGGATTGGGCTGAAGTTCTGTTCGACGGCAAATATGCCCTCTGTTCAGCCGAAGAAGAAAGTTAGATCATCGAAAAATCCGAATTCCTAATATAGAGCCCATTTGGTGCTGAAGTTCTGTTCACGCGCTGAATTGCATAATAATAAGAAAAAGTAAGGTTAGAATTACTTTTCTATAGGGGTGGACTCGGGTCCGGGCCGGGTCCGGGTCGGGCCTAGGCCCGGGCAGGCCGGCGGTTCAGAAATGGTGGACCCGGGACCGGCCCGGGTAACCACCGGGTCCAGTCCGGGCCGGGCCGGGCCCATTATAATTTTTTTTTGTTTTCCTCTTCCTAATTAACCCCCCTCCCACCCCCAACCCCCCAAACCACCCCAAATGGCCCAAAATACCCAGCCCAACCCGAAAATTTAAAAAAAAATTGAAAAAAAATAGGTTTTGGCCCGAACCGGGCCCGGCCGGGTCGGGCCTTGTTTTGGGTGACCCGAGCCCGGACCAGAAAACCCACGGGCCGGGCCTACCCGGACCGGTCACTGACCGGGCCACCGGGTCGGGCCGGGCCGGAACAGTACCGGTCCCAGGCCGGTTCCGGGTCAGGCCACCCAGCCCGAGTCCACCCCTACTTTTCTACTTGTATTGGCTGAAGTTACTGTGGAGGACCATTTTAGCTATTTTTACATATAACTTTTTCTTTATTTTATTAATGAAATATATTTTAAATATAATTTTTTAATAAATCAGCACGATAAGCCAATTCAGCCAGAACTTCATAAATTTCAACAGAATCAACTGATTCAGCCGATTTTGGCATTACCAAACGTGCTCACAATATACTACGTATAAGAATATAAATTTGAATGGAAAACCTTAACTCAAACAAGAAGAGGCTGACATTTGACCCACCACAAACATGTTCTTCATTTGCTCAAAGAAGAAGTGTTATATCGAGTAGCTAAGTAGCTCTTTTTCAAAACAAAATTGCTCTTCCTGTACCATAACGGAAGAATAAGGTTATACAACTCTTCTCATGGTCAGGAGGTAGACTCGTGCAGGAGGGCGGGGAGCTGGTACGGCAGACGATATTCCTTTAGACCAGGAGGTGATCCGGTGCAGGCGGGCAGCTGAAGAAGAAGAGCAACTTTCAACGATTGGAACTTGGAAGAATAGCGTGTTTTTTTGTGTAGGATAGAAATTACATATTAGCATTTAGCCCTAAGCACTAGCAATCAGAATTCTCTCTCACATGTGGTACTTCTAAGCATATAAAGATAAAGATAAAGATTTTTTTTAAAAAAAATGGAACCTGTCAGTTTTAGTCCAATTTTGGGGTAAAATAAGTGGTTTGGACCGGTTCTGGGTACTGGCTCCAGTCTGGGAACAGGAAAAAAGGGCCAGCAGTCTGTTTCTTTACCTGCCCGGTTTCGACCCAATCCAGCACCAGAACTGGGTACCCCCGACTAGCGGTTACCCATCATGTAAGTAAACCAACCCAGAGTTTCAAGATTAAAATTCAGCCAGGGCCCAGGGGTAATCACAAAAGGTACCTACCAAAGTGTAAAGTAGCAGATTAAAGCAAGACCAGCCAATCATGCCCAGTTATACTCATACAAACAGGTAGCCCTAAAAATCACATCAACCACCAACTAACCATGCAAAGAACAAAAAAAATGCAGCCAGGAAGAAGACAACTAACTAGCAATACATCAACATGTAGAAAATGAAAGGGATCTGACCCGATAAAATCCTGCTAAATCAATTGGTAAAGGCTTACTAGCAGGAACTTATAACCAGAGAGGTACTCAGCCACCTTGAATGAAAAACAGCTAGAGCCAAAAACATTTAGTAAACGGATTATCACTTTTGATCTCTAAATAAACACCAATGCACCTGGAAAGCAAAATCTTGAGAGTAAGAATGGGAAAGAATCTCCGATCACCACTGGTATTGAAAGCGTATATCCATTGACCGAGGAAAGAGACAGCTACATGGACCGGGTGTAACACTGTAACTTTTAATGCATAACACATTGCCCATTGCCCATTTAAGTTTTACAAGCACTCAAATAAGTTCTGTGTGAAACTATTAACCATTTAAAATGACATTATTTTTATCAGACTGATCCGCAAAGGAAGTTGTATTGCATGTCATTTAAACTTTTAATAGAGGTTATTCAGAACAGTAATCAAGAACTACTGTGAACACTTGAGCATTGTGAACCATCCTGAGAACATCATACATATAAAACTCTCTAGGGGATAAGCCAGACAACAACAAATTGAGATGAAAAAAATTGAGCATACATAGCTGATTCATGATTACAAGTTCTTAAAAAGAAAGATAAATAACGAAAAAATGCCAATTACTTTCTAGTCTTAAGGGACCCTTTAAGCTCTAATAATAATCAAAGTGGTAGTACTTCCAGTTCCATATATGAATAAAATAAAAATCGAACACATAGGCCACCATAATCAAGAGCTAGAAATAACTGGACCAAAGACTAATTGAACTCAAAATAAGTATAGAAGGTGAAGATAAGCATTTGATATTCGGATATCGATTGGAAATTGAGTTTACATAGAGAAGCACAAGATATCCAAAAAGCCTGTGAAAACAAAGCATTTTAGCAATTGCAAAAAATGCAATCTTTACTTATCGTCTCTTTAACCCATATCGACTATGTAGCTCCAAAAGCTGATCAAGAGACACTGATGACCATTTGTCCTCAGCTTGAGCAAATATCTTCTGGTTCAGGGTGTCTACTACTATGCTAATGTTACCAAAGCCATATATTTGAAGACCATCTTGCATCCTCCCTGGCTTTGGCAGGAATAGCAAACCATTCTGTTGTGCATGAATTTCAATTATTTCTTTCAAGCTCATCGCATTTTCACTGCCTATACCCTCCCCATGGAATCCACCGCTTAAGTTTGCAGAAGCATGTTGTTGAGCTTGAGCTGCTGCAGCCTTTTTTTGGGCCTCAAACTGCCTTTGTTCCAGCACTCTGAGATAACTTATATTCTCTCTTAAACCTGGTTGTATCACTTCCAAGCCTTCAGCTGCCTGGCTCATCATACCCAGAGCAACATTAATCCTATCCCGTATATGTTCATGTGCAACAACTTCAGGAGGTAAGATTTCCTTCCAACCTAAAAACCATTTGGTAACTTCTTCAAATTTTGGGTTTGAACACAACCAATGATACAGAACTTCTAGCCACTTGTTGAAGAATATGTCAAAAAGTTGAACCATGTGATGGATTGGAACATCAGTAGCCCATGTCCGTACCCAGTAAAACTGATCAAGGTTCTGATTTGCTGGGTTTACTTGGAATTCGTGCATGACAGCCAACAACTTTGGGACAATGAATCTGGCCATGAGTTTTTCCCAACTGTTTGGATCAAATACAGTCTTCCAAGGTGACAGTATGTAGTATGCAGACATATCACTTGGGTGCCAGGCATGAAGTACACTTTCCAATCTGTAACGTATCGTGTGATAGCACTTCTCCAGTTTTTGTCCCAACAAAGGCAGCCATGGATGAATCCAAGAGTGAATTGGGATTGTCTCCCGGCGTGGATCCCATGTGTCAACAGCAGCTGATAACTTGGGCAAAACAACATTATCAAGAATGGCATGAAGAACTACAGGAGGAAACAGCTTTTCCCAGGATTCCAAAAACCGGAGCATGGGTTCTGGGTCTCTTGCCTGCCAAGTGTTGGTTCCAGATATTCTCACAGCAGGAAAAACTACTTCCATGAACAGCTGCGTATAAGGAGATGCCATATCAGAGTAGCCAAAAGAATTATCTTGCAACAGATCCTTCCACAACGAAACAACCTCTAATCCATGAGTAGGGTTTTGAAGTGGGTTCCATCCCTGAAATACTCGAATAAACAGAGGGAGAGCATATGAGCATGCTATGGATGACAAATTACAGAGTTTATAATCATCAGCATACCGCTGTTGCAGATTCAGAAATGACTTCATAAGTGAGTCAAGGGTCAATGTGCCAACTTTACTTTCTTCATCCATCTGATCCAACTCGGTCACTATAAATTCCATATTTTCAAGCTGTTTTTTCTGGAAGACTGCCTCGGATTGGAGTTTCTCCTTCTCCTTCTGTAAAGCAACCACCTTCTCCCTCTCATTTCTCAAATCTTGATCAATTTTTTGTATGTCGAGTTCAGCTAAATCTACAATCAATCTGACATTGTGCTGAAGTTCGGGCATAGGAATATCATTTTCCCTTGCTTTCTCTTCAGCATTTAGGTTCTCCAGGTTTGTCAGAACTCGAACTTGTGGACCTCTCATGTCAAACACCTTTTGAACGACTTCAAGTCCCTGCTCTTGCTTCTTAGCCAGTAACTCTTCTGCGGTTATATAAAACTTCTTTTTTGAAGCTTTCTTTAGCCAAGGCTTCTCTTTTGTGTGGCTTTTCAACGTCTCCACAGGCTGAGGGGAGGATTTTACTTCTGATTCTTGAAGTTTTGGCACAGCAGCCTCTTTGTAGTCATTGAAACCCATACCCATATTCTTTGGCCGCAGCTTTGCTTCGATGGGGGCAGTGATACCCTGTTCATCCTTCCCAAGGCCACCTCCCTTATAGCCCATCTTTTCAAGCAACTTCATCCCAATTCCTTTAGTGTGCTTCTCAAATGCACCAACATCACCAGCATCTGTTTCTCTTCTCCCTCCGGTATGAGATGCATTTTTTAGTTGCATTGACTTCTCCTTTTCCTTTTCCTTCCTCAACAAGGCACCTTTTTGGATCATCTTCCCAAAAGCAGATGGTAGAAAGTTCTCAAGATCTCTACTGTCTACATCCTCATGAATGGTCTTTGAACCAAATCCAATGGCAGAAGAAGATGCTCCTACCCCGAGAACTGGGGGCCTATCATCAACATCCTCTACTTTTTTGCCCTCCTCCTTATGCTTTTGATCAATTTCCTGGTTGGGCATTACACTACCCGTGGAAACGAAATTAACAGGTTTGGAAAGGTCTGGCTTCTTCGAAAGTTCTTTCCTCCGCTTCTTCGAGGAGCCTAATCCTGACCCCTCATAATCTGAATCGCTATCTCCAGAAGCAAAAACACCATAGAGAACATCATCCTTGGTCTGCACCGATTTTTCCTTGCGGGCCCTGTAGTAATACTCACCATCAATCCACCGACCACCCTCAAAATCATTTTCCATTCCAAATCTTTCCGCCTCCTGTTGCTCATCCATACTGACAGCCTTCTTATAAGCTACACAAACATCAAATAGTTCAAATCAATTTTATAAACATGCAAAAAGACAGAAATTCAATTCAAAATGTGATAGGATTGGGCATATTATTAGAAATAATAATAAGTAGGCTTGTATTATAAACATAAGTACTATAAATAGAAGTCGGGAGTCTTAGAATGGTAGGCTGTTATTGAATTAGAAAAGAGAACTTTGGAGAGCTCTGGCACTCTCGAATTTGCCCAGAACTATTACTGTACTTTTCCTTCTGTTAATAAACATTCAGTTTTCTTGATTGATCTGCTCCATTCTTGATTGTCTTGTTAATTCAAGAATCTAGAAATTGTTGGTATCTATCATTGGTATCAGAGCATTACATTCCTGGTGACCGTAGCTTTGATCGGAAACGTACTCAGATTTCCAGAAATTTTCGTCGCAAGTTGTGAATGGTTAGAGCGATGGAAAAAATGGAGAACCGACTGGAAACACTGGAACGCAATTATCAGGAGATGAAATCTACGCAAAAAAACATAGCAGCGAAAATGGCGACGAGGAATGAACAACTTCATAGCAGGGGAAGATCGCGAACATCGCAGCAACCTCATACGCGAACAATTACTCTTAGTTCACAATCGCTAACAGATTCGCGCAGGTCGCAGGGGTCCTCACTAAGCGCACAACTTACGTTGCACAATTCGCATCGCGCTTTTCATCGCACTTCTCTAAGCAGAAGAAAGTCGCGAACACCTCCGCCACAGCAGATGCGAACTTCGAACAGTCCTGTTGTTTACAGAGGTAATTCCGCTTACTCAAATGTCCATGGTCATCGACGTAGTGATGAACAAATGAGAGTACCTGTGTATTCTGGTAGAAAGGTAGATTTACCTTTGTTTAATGGTGAAGGAGCCAATAACTGGATTATACAAATAGAGAGGTATTTTCGGCTAAATGACATTGAAGAGGAAGAAAAGGTTGAAGTTTCTAGGGTTGCTATGAAAGATAGGGCTTTGACTTGGTTTCATTCGTGGGAATACAAGACTGAAGAAACTAATTGGGACACTCTAAAAAAATCTATCATTCGCAGATTTCAACCTGAGTTGATTTCTTCTCACAGTTCGAAATCACGAACTTCATCATCCACCAGCAGTTCACAACCAAGTAAGACTCTATCGAGAGAAGCTTCCCGTTCGCAGATGTCATCGCAAACTGTTTCAGCTTTGTCGCGAACAATAGCTTCCAGTTCCCAGGCATCAACAGTCCTACAGGAGTCTGTGAGGGAGCAGCAACCATCCTTTGATGGTAGGAGTGCTTCTTTTGTTAGAGAAAATGCAGAGAAGGGTACCAAGGGCGGTGATGAAAGCGAGAAAAAGGCATCAGATGCTGAACCTAAAGGTGAATCACATGCCATTTTTTCAGGAGGACCTTCCAGTGATTGCACTTTTTCTGAAAGAAATAGAAGGAAATACATGTCAGATGCTACAATTTCAAAGAATGAAGCAACTGAAACCCAAGGGCTTGGGTTATAACCTGAAGCAAGAGCTATTGGCTCTCGTATAGGGGATAGGAAAGAAGAAAACTTCCAAGACCTGGGACTTTGGCGGTTAGAGAATCTGAAATCGCATGGCAGAGCTGTTGTGCACCATTTCTGTTGGTTGTTGAAGTTTTACAAGACAAATCCTGCTATAACGAAGATTGATTTGAAGCCAATGGATGAGGACATTGAGAAGATAGGTGAGGGGAACATTCTGAATAAGTATGCAGAGCATGAGATGTGTTTATGTTCTGGGGATAAAGTTGTTGAGGTTCTGGAAATTCCAAACCAACAGTTAGGTCGCTACTTTGAGAATTGTAATGTGTTGGTTGACAGGAGGCCACTATCAGAATGCCAATGTGATGAAAAGAAAGAATCTGCAGCAGTTTATGCTGTCTCGGAAACCACTATTGATGCCAGAAAGGCTGCTGAAATTGCTAGGGGAATGAAACGGGGAGGGATGAAGATTGAAAACCAAGGTTGCTTTGTTCCAATCTACAAGGGAGGGCAAGGTTTGGGTGCACGGTCTGAGTTTGGAGTAGATCCTAGCTCTGAAATAAACTCAAGGTATCATGTTGAGCAAGTTGTTAAATGCAGAGAGGTCAGTTCTATTCCTACAGCAAGACGAGTCAACTGCAGCACAAGACCGATAAGGTTGTCAGAACAGAAGGAATTAACAATGACCATATTTTTTTCGGATGAAGGAAATGATTGCATGCAAGCAGACCACTTTTGCAAGCTTTATATGGAAGATATGCTTTCATGTTCCATAGTTATGAGAACTGCTGCAGTGTTGACAGTTGAAGGGGTTGAATGGTATCTAGAATTTCTGCAAGAAAATCAACTGTGGGATTCTTACATTGAAGATAGGAATTCCTGTTCCATACTTAAGAGAACTCCTGCTGGTATAGGGGATCTCCTGGCTTGCTTGCTAAAACCTTTTATGCCTTCTTTTTCATATGAGATAGGCCAAGAATGGAAAGAGGAAGAAGCTGAAAGATACAAAGAAAAGTTTGCATCTAGTACAGAAACATGTGTTGTGATTGAGTGCTTGAAAGTTGCTGAAGAGAATGAACCTTCATTAGATACATCTTATGCTGGGGAAATGTCTGTGATATCAAACGATTTGGTATTCAAATTCCTAGTCCCGCAATCAGTCAAGTACTGGGAGGGAAGAGGTGCAAGAATAAAGTGGAAGTGGAAAATCATGGCTGATTCCTATCACCCACCTTGAGGACAAGGTGGTTGTTTAGGGGGGGAGTAGTGATAGGATTGGGCATATTATTAGAAATAATAATAAGTAGGCTTGTATTATAAACATAAGTACTATAAATAGAAGTCGGGAGTCTTAGAATGGTAGGCTGTTATTGAATTAGAAAAGAGAACTTTGGAGAGCTCTGGCACTCTCGAATTTGCCCAGAACTATTACTGTACTTTTCCTTCTGTTAATAAACATTCAGTTTTCTTGATTGATCTGCTCCATTCTTGATTGTCTTGTTAATTCAAGAATCTAGAAATTGTTGGTATCTATCAAAATGGCTATGTTTTATTCAAAATAATTACAGGAAAGAGTCTTTAGAGAAGTACTATCTGGGACAGATATTACTTCATTAAAGTAGTATAGTAGTAAATTGGATATTAAAGTAGTATAGTCTTTAACACATTTCTTCATTAAAATGGCCGGTCTTTGAAGAAGTTTGGCCAAAATGATGTAAAGTAGTAATTGGATATTACTCCCTCCATCCCAATATTATCTCATGTTTTGATTTTGCACACAGATTAAAAGAGTGGAAAATGTGTGACCTAAAGTTGTGCAGAGGATAGAGAAAGTGAAACAAATGTTGTGAAACACAAATTCTTTGCCAAAAAAGAAAAGAGGGGTTTATATTGGGACGAACGGAAAAGGAAAGAATGAAGATAATATTGGAATGGAGGGAGTAGCAGCGATTGTTTTAAAACAGATAAGAGACCCAGAACCCATGCTGTCCCATATAAGGAAATTGAAAGTGCATAATCTCAAATTCTACATTCCAACCTACCCATCAATATAAATGAAATTTAATTTTGTGAAACAAATTTACTAATAATTCATTTTATTTTACAAAAAAATGTGATATATCTGCCATAAAAAAATTTACTCCTTGAATAGTAATCCTTCCCGTGAATCGAAAGGGTACTACACTAGATTTAAGGTGAGATCGAGTGTAGGGCTGATCTGCAGAAAATGGGGACCCTGTGCAATAAAAAAATTTGGGTCTTCTTTCCACACTAGTAGAAATAAAACATAAATGAAGATGACAATAGTGATAAATTACTGATAATTTTTGTCAAAATACAAGTTACTAATTAACTATTAATTGTAAACCCAAAAAATACTTATAAACTATTAATGTATTATACTCCCTCAGTCCCAATTTAATTAGCCATCTTTGACTTTTCCAGTCAAACATTGTAAACTTTGACCAATTATTTAAACTAATATTTTTATGTAAAATTTAATAATTTTATACTTTTATGATAGTATTTTTAACAAAGAACATTTTCATATCATTTTCATATTATTAATACTTTCTCTATATAAACATATAATCGGTCAAAGTTAGACTTCATTGACTTGAAAAGTCAAGTTTGGCTAAGTAAAATGGGACGGAGGGAGTAGTGTAAACAACTGCAAACTTAACAACCTAATATCATAATTATACCAATTTCTTAAATATAATTAGTTTAAATAATTAATTACTTAACTAAATAAATAACAACCATTGTTTTAAATTGCAGTATTGCACAATGCCTTACCGCATCAAGGCGTCCCTTGGCATTTTTTATTCCTAATTCCTATTTACGATGGGAGGTGTATCTCATTTTTAGCAATATATAAACTTGTGCAATTGTAGCTGAGGTGTACGCCTAAGCAATCGAGCGTTTATTGAGGCGTGCTTTGCGAAGGGGGGAGTCCTGTAGACAATCAGATTCTTCCGTGGGTGTAGACAAGATCACAAGAAGTTGGTCCCGCTTATGAAATTAAGCTCAAATATGTTTTAAATCTTACGTTTGTAAGGTCTGACTTACCTCTGTTGTGTGCCTGCGAATTTACTTCTACTCTGTGTGAAGATGGCTGCGAGTGAAGACAGCTGCAGGGGTGCAAGTTCTGCGTTCCAGCAGTTCTGTGTGAAGGCTTTGTGAAGTGTACGTCAATTTTTATCTAATTTTCTTTTTTCACTACTTCAGGACAACCACTAATAATATTTTTAAACTATTTTAACTTAGCCCATGGGTATGGTTTGGAATATAAGAGGCTAAGGGCAGCTGCATGATTTTAACTTTTCAAAAAAAAAATCCATATATAGGCGATGGATGTAATAACTTAATTTATTTATGCATATAATGCATTGGATGAGTGACTTTAGCTTTGAAAGATCTTTTCTAATAGTTCTTTTTTACATTTGATAACTTCTAGATATGACATTCATTATTGTTCTAATTTAGCTTACTTTGTATAACATACTGGAGTATAAGGATTGTGAAAAATTAAATAATTAAGAGTAAAAAAATTGACAATTAACTGGTGGTTTTTAAACTTGTTTCTATTAATGATAAAAGTTGCTACAGTGTGGGTCCAAAATATGAAATTTGATCTCTGTTTCATATCACTTCATATTGAAAATTTGCTTTAAGACTTCTCAATCTTATGGTCTTAGAACTTTAACAGATCAGAAAATATTTGCTTTGTGTGATGTTTGAACATCATATTTTGATGGGTTTACGACCTCAGTTTTGTTGGTTTTGAGTATGATAGTTTTTTACTTTTAATGATTAGGCTATTTTACAGTTTATTACATTATTTGTATTTTTTAATATAAATTTGTGTAAAAACCTCAGGCTTAAGCCTAATTGCGAATTGAGGCTTAAGCAATAGACAATGCAAAGAAATGCTAAGAAAGAGCCTCAAATAAGCAATACGCAATTTAAAACATTGATAACAACCTAATTTGTTTAATTCGATTATAAATATTCAGGCCTAATAAATAACTAAAATAAGAAACTCGATCGAATAATAATCAAGAAGATTAACAATACATGAGAAGTATCTACAAAAAAACAATACATGAGAAATTAAAAAGATTAATTATTTATAGTTTAAAAGAGAAAAACTTACCAGGTTCCGCGAGCCTGTGAGATCCCAGAGCCGAGCGGAATCACCGATTCACCAGGCTGGATGCGCGGTGGCGAGGCGCGGTGGCGGCGTTTGGTAGTCCTCCTGTGCTTGTCCGGCCGTTGTGGCGTCAACCAGGGGCGGATCCGGGATTCAGATGTGGGGTGGGCTAAGCAGTAAAAAAATTGTTACTATACATACAAGGTTTAGCACAAAGTTGTTATAGAATCAAGCTTTTTTCGAATTATATACTCGAGTTCAAGCTTGATTTCGCCTCTAATTTAATAACCCGGGCTAAACAAGCTTCGAACATTGTGATGCATGGTTTGATACGGACACGAGCCTATCGTTCACTTATAAATTATAGGAATAAATTATATACGGAGTATATCTTAAAATTTAAATGTTTTTGTGCAATTTTATAAATTTATTAATGATTATTAAAGATTCGAGTATTTATTGAATAATTCGAACATGAATCTATTAAGAGCGCGGTCTAAACTTCTACATTCAAGCATGTTTATCGTGTGTTAAGTTTCACTTCATATTCACTTCATTTTCATACTATACGAGCTCAATTTCATACTATATTCACTTAATTTTCCTTTTGGTAGGATGTTCATTATATGTTCTAAAATACATTTTCAATAATGGTATGAGTTCAATCCTTGTACATAAAACTAATAAGTATTTCCAATTTCAAAATTGGATTGTTAGCTAAATATATCTCCAACTATCATCAAATTCACAGATATATCCCATACTTTCACTTTTATTAAAAAAAGACTCAAATTTTAGGTTTTCTCACAATTACACTTTCAAAGGATACATTAGTAAAACTTAAGAAGAAAATCATATTAATATTTCATATTTTTCACTTTTTCTAGTTTGAAGTTCACAAACTTGTATTGTTATATCTTATTGGTATTGATTAAAATGTGTGATTTTGAAAAAGAAAAAAAGAGAAGCATAATTAGTGAAAAGGATGAAGTTTGAGTCTTTTTTTATAAAAGTGAAAGCATGAGATAAATTTGTGAATTTGATGATAGTTTGAGATAAAACAAGCTAATAATCCTTCAAAATTCAATTGAAAATTTTAATTCTTTCTCACATGCCATACAATAAATAAATCATTTTCTAATCTTCAATTCAATTGTATCATAAATAAATCATTTTCTAATCTTTAATTCTATCTTTCATCATAATAAATATATAATGAATAAACACTATTTTATTATCTACTAAGAAAATCAATTAATAATCAAATACAATTGCAAAATTTTAAAAATACACAGTCACAACTCACAAAAAAATACATTAATAATCAAATACAATGCTAAAAATAATAATAGATTAATACACAAATACACAATAACTTATAACTGCAAGTCGGCAATTGGACTTTAGAAATAGAATTTGGAGAATAACAATTAACACATTCATAATTTAACAACAACAAAAAAAATCAAAAATCTAAAACCGAAATTGAATTTGGAGAATTGGAGTTTACCTGGAGGAAGGCGCAGGTGGGCGGACTGAGTCCAGACTCCAAAGAAGAAGGGCGGACCGGCGGCGGCGGACGACGCAGGTGGGAGGACGACGTAGGCGGTGTGCTGGGCCAGCTCGGCGGACGACGCTTCACCCTCGCTGGTTCACTTCGCAGCTCGGCCAGCTCCTTCACCCTCGTCGCAGTCTCGCTTCGCAGTTCACAGAATCACAGGACTTCAATCGCGGATGCAGCTCTAATTTGCGTAACAGCTCCAGTAGGCCGAGAAGCGCAGGTAAGTGCTGGGATGTGGGCTGGAGTGCTGGAGTGCGGGGCTGGGAGTTAACTTTGGGCTGGGCTGAGAATTAATTTTGAAGTGGGCTCATAATATATCATATACCTATACTAACTATAAAAAAATATTGGGCTGGGCTGAAGCCCACCCCTGCCCTCAAATAGATCCGCCCCTGGCGTCAACCACTCTCTACCTTTGTCGCTTGCAAAGCCAATTGCCGATGGGGGATGTTGGAAGGTGTCGATTGATATAAGGCCCCGTTTGGTTAGGGGAAATTTTATTCAATTGTATACCATTTGTGTTTGATTGAATGATATATTAGGGATTTAGTGATAACTTTATTACAACCTCCATTTAAACTAACTTAAATTAAAGAAAAAATGAAATAACTTCACAATAAAAAAAAACAAAACTAAATGAATTACACTGTATGATTAATTGTACAAATGACAAAGATACATTGTGGATGTTGCACCCAAAGAGAAAGATATGTGAACATTAAAAAATAATTTTGTTCAAATAAATACCTAATCACATACATTAATAAATAAATGTGATGTTGGATAATTGATACCCATATTGTATAAATTAGGAGATTTGAACAAGAATGTAGTAGGGAAATGGGGAAGAAGAAGATGAATAGTGTATAGAATGAATATTGGTTGTATGAGTTGTGTAGCCTCCTAAAGGAGTATATATAGGGGAAATCCGGGTCTGGGCCTCTAATATGGGCCTGACAGACCCGGTTATATAAATGGACTGATAGTACAAAAAACTAATCTAGAACATCTGAATAATAATAATGTACAATAATATGAATGATATCTGCTAAACGTGTGTGGGCCGCTGTCCAGGCCCAGTAGTCGGCAGACCGGGGGGTCGGAGTCCATATATTCCATCAGGAGTCCCCCACTCCCTGAGTCGAGAGTACTCGAGGCGAAAGGGAGTAGTCCAAACTGTATCTGCAACGTTCTTCTGTCTTTGATTTCTTCCTTTCCGGCCGGGGACCACCACCCTTGTCCATGATGGGGAGGTGTCTCGTTAAAAACCTTTACTAAGAAAAAACTTTGTGGGAAAAAATCCTAATAAAGGGAAAAAGAGTACACCTAGCGCCCCCAACATGAAACAAGGAAGGTAAGTTCCCTCTGACATAATCAATTTTGTCCAGCTCAGCTCCTCTTCATACAACTCAGCTTTCGTTCCTGCTCATGTGTGATATTTTCTGCTCATTTAGAAACTCTGACCTCTCAGTCCCCCACTCTTTGAGGCGAGTGGAGTCGAGGTGAAAATGAGTAAAGTCATCTTCGTACCTACACATTTGGCATGAATATAAATTTTTTCTTGGGGTTTTCCTATCGAGAGTTCGTCACTTGAAAAAAGTGGAAATGTGAATTGTTGATGTAATGATAAAATACTTAGTAGAGTGGAGGTGTGAGTCATTCGTACGCAACGATCGCCACTCTAGGAATAACTAAGACCGGTCTTCGTGCCTGAGGAGTCAGGGCTTTGTGCCTGAGGAGTCAGTGCTTTGTGCCCAGGGGCGGATCCGGGATTGAGATGTGGGGTGGGCTAAGCAGTAAAAAAATTGTTACTATACATACAAGGTTTAGCACAAAGTTGTTATAGAATCAAGCTTTTTTCGAATTATATACTCGAGTTCAAGCTTGATTTCGCCTCTAATTTAATAACCCGGGCTAAACAAGCTTCGAACATTGTGATGCATGGTTTGATACGGACACGAGCCTATCGTTCACTTATAAATTATAGGAATAAATTATATACGGAGTATATCTTAAAATTTAAATGTTTTTGTGCAATTTTATAAATTTATTAATGATTATTAAAGATTCGAGTATTTATTGAATAATTCGAACATGAATCTATTAAGAGCGCGGTCTAAACTTCTACATTCAAGCATGTTTATCGTGTGTTAAGTTTCACTTCATATTCACTTCATTTTCATACTATACGAGCTCAATTTCATACTATATTCACTTAATTTTCCTTTTGGTAGGATGTTCATTATATGTTCTAAAATACATTTTCAATAATGGTATGAGTTCAATCCTTGTACATAAAACTAATAAGTATTTCCAATTTCAAAATTGGATTGTTAGCTAAATATATCTCCAACTATCATCAAATTCACAGATATATCCCATACTTTCACTTTTATTAAAAAAAGACTCAAATTTTAGGTTTTCTCACAATTACACTTTCAAAGGATACATTAGTAAAACTTAAGAAGAAAATCATATTAATATTTCATATTTTTCACTTTTTCTAGTTTGAAGTTCACAAACTTGTATTGTTATATCTTATTGGTATTGATTAAAATGTGTGATTTTGAAAAAGAAAAAAAGAGAAGCATAATTAGTGAAAAGGATGAAGTTTGAGTCTTTTTTTATAAAAGTGAAAGCATGAGATAAATTTGTGAATTTGATGATAGTTTGAGATAAAACAAGCTAATAATCCTTCAAAATTCAATTGAAAATTTTAATTCTTTCTCACATTCCATACAATAAATAAATCATTCTCTAATCTTCAATTCAATTGTATCATAAATAAATCATTTTCTAATCTTTAATTCTATCTTTCATCATAATAAATATATAATGAATAAACACTATTTTATTATCTACTAAGAAAATCAATTAATAATCAAATACAATTGCAAAATTTTAAAAATACACAGTCACAACTCACAAAAAAATACATTAATAATCAAATACAATGCTAAAAATAATAATAGATTAATACACAAATACACAATAACTTATAACTGCAAGTCGGCAATTGGACTTTAGAAATAGAATTTGGAGAATAACAATTAACACATTCATAATTTAACAACAACAAAAAAAATCAAAAATCTAAAACCGAAATTGAATTTGGAGAATTGGAGTTTACCTGGAGGAAGGCGCAGGTGGGCGGACTGAGTCCAGACTCCAAAGAAGAAGGGCGGACCGGCGGCGGCGGACGACGCAGGTGGGAGGACGACGTAGGCGGTGTGCTGGGCCAGCTCGGCGGACGACGCTTCACCCTCGCTGGTTCACTTCGCAGCTCGACCAGCTCCTTCACCCTCGTCGCAGTCTCGCTTCGCAGTTCACAGAATCACAGGACTTCAATCGCGGATGCAGCTCTAATTTGCGTAACTGCTCAAGTCAGTAGGCCGAGAAGCGCAGGTAAGTGCTGGGATGTGGGCTGGAGTGCTGGAGTGCGGGGCTGGGAGTTAACTTTGGGCTGGGCTGAGAATTAATTTTGAAGTGGGCTCATAATATATCATATACCTATACTAACTATAAAAAAATATTGGGCTGGGCTGAAGCCCACCCCTGCCCTCAAATAGATCCGCCCCTGGCGTCAACCACTCTCTACCTTTGTTGCTTGCAAAGCCAATTGCCGATGGGGGATGTTGGAAGGTGTCGATTGATATAAGGCCCCGTTTGGTTAGGGGAAATTTTATTCAATTGTATACCATTTGTGTTTGATTGAATGATATATTAGGGATTTAGTGATAACTTTATTACAACCTCCATTTAAACTAACTTAAATTAAAGAAAAAATGAAATAACTTCACAATAAAAAAAAAACAAAACTAAATGAATTACACTGTATGATTAATTGTACAAATGACAAAGATACATTGTGGATGTTGCACCCAAAGAGAAAGATATGTGAACATTAAAAAATAATTTTGTTCAAATAAATACCTAATCACATACATTAATAAATAAATGTGATGTTGGATAATTGATACCCATATTGTATAAATTAGGAGATTTGAACAAGAATGTAGTAGGGAAATGGGGAAGAAGAAGATGAATAGTGTATAGAATGAATATTGGTTGTATGAGTTGTGTAGCCTCCTAAAGGAGTATATATAGGGGAAATCCGGGTCTGGGCCTCTAATATGGGCCTGACAGACCCGGTTATATAAATGGACTGATAGTACAAAAAACTAATCTAGAACATCTGAATAATAATAATGTACAATAATATGAATGATATCTGCTAAACGTGTGTGGGCCGCTGTCCAGGCCCAGTAGTCGGCAGACCGGGGGGTCGGAGTCCATATATTCCATCAGGAGTCCCCCACTCCCTGAGTCGAGAGTACTCGAGGCGAAAGGGAGTAGTCCAAACTGTATCTGCAACGTTCTTCTGTCTTTGATTTCTTCCTTTCCGGCCGGGGACCACCACCCTTGTCCATGATGGGGAGGTGTCTCGTTAAAAACCTTTACTAAGAAAAAACTTTGTGGGAAAAAATCCTAATAAAGGGAAAAAGAGTACACCTAGCGCCCCCAACATGAAACAAGGAAGGTAAGTTCCCTCTGGCATAATCAATTTTGTCCAGCTCAGCTCCTCTTCATACAACTCAGCTTTCGTTCCTGCTCATGTGTGATATTTTCTGCTCATTTAGAAACTCTGACCTCTCAGTCCCTCACTCTTTGAGGCGAGTGGAGTCGAGGTGAAAATGAGTAAAGTCATCTTCGTACCTACACATTTGGCATGAATATAAATTTTTTCTTGGGGTTTTCCTATCGAGAGTTCGTCACTTGAAAAAAGTGGAAATGTGAATTGTTGATGTAATGATAAAATACTTAGTAGAGTGGAGGTGTGAGTCATTCGTACGCAACGATCGCCACTCTAGGAATAACTAAGACCGGTCTTCGTGCCTGAGGAGTCAGGGCTTTGTGCCTGAGGAGTCAGTGCTTTGTGCCCAGGGGCGGATCCGGGATTGAGATGTGGGGTGGGCTAAGCAGTAAAAAAATTGTTACTATACATACAAGGTTTAGCACAAAGTTGTTATAGAATCAAGCTTTTTTCGAATTATATACTCGAGTTCAAGCTTGATTTCGCCTCTAATTTAATAACCCGGGCTAAACAAGCTTCGAACATTGTGATGCATGGTTTGATACGGACACGAGCCTATCGTTCACTTATAAATTATAGGAATAAATTATATACGGAGTATATCTTAAAATTTAAATGTTTTTGTGCAATTTTATAAATTTAT